AACACTGGCGATGACGACGGTATGACTCCTGTATTTGAAATGTGATTGCATTACAAATGAATGATTTATACGATTAGATTCTGTGGCCGCGAATCCTGACATATACTTTAAGCCAATCATTCCTTTGCCTGAATTGATTGAAGTGCAGACCGGAGAGGAAGATGAAGAGCCCATATACTGTCAAAGGGCTAAACTCTATCGCTTTGACCCTAATCTCAAAGAGTGGAAAGAGCGAGGAATCGGAGACTTTAAAATTTTGAAACACAAGTCTAAAAGTTTGTCATATTTCCCAAATGATTGCATATAGTTCTGGATAATAACCACTTGTTTTGAAACTACTTTACAGTTCGGTATCGAATGATTTTACGAAGAGAACAGATCTTAAAGATTGCATGTAATCATTATATAACACCAGAAATAACATTGAATCCAATGAATACAAGTGAAACCAGTGTTTGTTGGAATGCCGTCGACTTTACCGATGGAAGTCCTGTTAGCGAACAGTTTGCGCTCAAACTTAAAGTAATTATAACTTTAAACATATTTTGATGCAAACAAAATGAACAAATCAGTGCCCACTATACAGGTATAACACTTTGTATAGTGACTACTGCTTTGTTGATTTTGTGAACATCAAAGGGCATGAGAATTATACTCTAATCAACTAAACTAAACAACTATTTTCTTTGGTTTAACATTAAATTGTATTTTAATTTGTATTTTAGAACAAAGATTTACTCAAAGATTTCGTTAAATTGTTTGAAGAATGTAAGAGTAGTTTAGAAAGCAGTGAAGTCTATAACTCAGACAATGAGGAGAAGAGTGGCGGCGATGAGGACACCGACGCCGAAGAAGATCAACAAAATTAATTTTATATTACAGTTATAGGCCTAACATTATAGACCAAGTTTTGTTGGTTTGTTGTTTGTAACTAAAAATCAATTCATTTTGGATTAAGTTTTATTAATAAATTTCTAACATCGCGTTTGCATTCCTATAACCTATTTGTAATCCATTCAATGAATGCCTAATAATGCAATTGTTATCGATTCCGGACCACAGGTTTGACAGTTAAGCCCAAACACGCAAACTATTTCTATTATTCCATCTTTAATACACTGTATTTATAATTACTTTATGAAGATTGCATTGACTCGGGTGAAGGGGGTGTCATAGATTACAACCAGGTAGAATTGCCCCTCAAATAAATGCCAAATATTTAAATATTTATGTTAATCGAGTAACACGTAAATTAGGGCAAAGAGTTGCTACCTTTATGTATAACTAGACTTGACTGTTGTAGAGTGACCACATTACTCATATAGTATGAGTCATACTCTAATTAAACTTGACGTGATAAGTTTAAAATAGTGTATGAAAAGTAGGTAATTTGTGAATGGATACATTTCCGATAGTGTATTGATTTTGATGGACATGAATGCTAAACGATTGACAAATTGGTGATGAATTGGATGAACGAGTGGTGAGTCTATGTGGGTATGGGTTGAATGGATTGGTATAGAGTTTGCGCACAATTGGGTGCTATTAATGGTTAGACATGATATGAGGAGTCCCTCAGCTGTTGAGGTGTTGGTAAGCGATAGTGCATTGAGTGGTGAAGTGTTTGGTTGACAAAGAGTTGGTAACGGCTTGTATTGGTCTGTGTTTGAAGTGGTCTTACAGAGGGTTCGGGCGTTGAAGGTATGGCCGCATCGATCGGTGGCTGTTGTGGTACTAAAAAGCAAAAGTTGAGTAACAATTGCTGCGCGACTCTTGACAGCAATCACATGGATTCACATCATGTGAACGCTTTGCCACTCATGAACGGCCATTCGCTGATCACCACTCAAGACATGAATGGCATGAATGGCACGGCTGGTGGCGGACCACCTCTCGTGTCGGCCAAGAACTCGCTGATGATTGTCTCCAACGAGATGTGCTTCTTCTGCTTCGACGTCCTGTCCTCACATCTCAGCCAATCAGACGCCCCGAAGACACCCAACTTTCCCAATGAATGCCAGTCAGTATCACATTATGTTTAATGTCTTCGTCTCTATCACTCAATTGCCTAAATGCCTGTCTTTGGACACAATTCAAGACCATTAGTGCCACCAAATAGTCGTTGCATTCATTGTCTCCATTCACTCAATGTATTCAATGTCTGGCCTTTTGTCCCAATTTTTCATAACTAAAAACGCATAAAACGCTACAAATATTTCCTATCATTTATACAGACCTTTAAATAATTAAGTATTGATTTAATCATTGATTAAATTGTCGTTTATTTAAAGGATTCAAAATTAAAAGTGAATTTTGTATTCAAAAATATACATTTATTGAACATATAATGAGTCTAGAAATGAAACAATACATTTCATATGGATATAGGATATGAGCTGTTATGACATGTTATGTCTACCAATTTATGTCTGTTTTGATTACATAATAGTTTATAATTAAATACAGTGCGAGTGGTCTGAGGCTTCCCCCACCCCTGGACTCCATATTTAAGCCAAATAATCAATACATATTTCGCCAATCAATGACCATGGTCACATTAGTGTTAAGCAAGCTATATTAAGGCTACAGTATGTACTTAACATTGTCTAATATGAGGCCATAAGGTGTAGTGATCAGAGTATGCAAATGTGAATAAAACTGAACTTATTCAATTTTTAATTATGCGCTGTATTATCACTAAAATAGATAATCTATGGTAATGTTGAAACTATACATGTATACCATTATATGAATGATTACTAATCATATAAGCAGATGAATTCAGTTTTAGCATACAATTCAAATAAATTAAAAATAAATATTTACATTATTTGGTAGACATTATTTACATTATGATTTAAAAAATGTACTGAGAAAGTGGTGTTTAAAACAGTTATAATTGAATAAAATGATTGATTGTGTGAATTAAACCAAATGTGTTGTTCAGCCCGTTGTTCGTCACGTGGAAGATAGGACGGGATCGACGTCTGAGAGGTTGTATCGGAACCTTCAATGCAATGAATTTGCAT